TATGGAGTATATTGTGAGAAAGTAGAAGACAGTAGGCTCCACAGAGGAAACCTCAGTACCTTATCAAGTGGAAGGGGTATCCTCCCTCTGAGAACACTTGGGAGCCTTTAGGAAATCTAGGCAATGCTAAAAAGGCTATTGCAGATTTCCATAGGCTTTACCCTCTGCTCCAGAAGGAATTTCAGCCATCACCTTTGATAGGCTTCACTTCCAACCACTCATTAACTATACTATACCACCTAAAAGGGTTCTCTTTGATTGGACATCTGGAAAGAAGAAGGGAAAAGCAGAAGAAGGAGTATCAACATGCTGGGACAGCATGTCTAGAAGGGGGGGTGATGTCAGGGCACCAGCTCATTGCTTGGTCAAGAGACATGACTAAGCCTTTATGACATGGAAGTAGCTGGTATACCTTGGCATGTGCTGGAACCTGCTGGAAGGATTGGATGGTCAGGTGACCTGCTGTGCATGGCTGTGCATGACCTCATATGACCTCATCCTTGGTCATATGACCTGATCACCTGACTAGGCTGAGTAAGCAAGATGTTCTAGCAGGTTCCACCACAGAGGTATAAATATAAGGCCTACTCTGCCTGGGACTGTCTCTTCAGACTTGGTCTCTTAGGATCATCCACAGGTACCTATACTGTAGATAGGTCTTAGTCATCAGGTCTACTCCACTTCCTTGTTGCCTGCTTAGACTCTTGGCACTCTTAGGTGAGCAGACTTAGTCAGCCTGTGTTGCCCTAACAATGGCACAGTCTACTTCCTCATGCCAAGGGGGACACACCATGGACCAGGGTGTGCAATGGGAGGTTGGACAAGGCATATATTGCCACCTTGGGTGTTGACATGGACACATTTGAATACCTCCTGAAGGCAGGTTTTGAAGAGAATTGGAATGCACAGACTATTCCATGTGGGGATGTGGCACCATCCGGCAAAGCAAGGCCACACAATAGGTTGTTGAACGCTGCTGGCAGGTTGGGACTCCTATTGTATTGGCTCAACTCTACAATGGCAGACAAATCTCTGGCTCAAATCTTTGCAGTCATTCCCTTGTGCTTAACCTGCTACAGAGAATTTGGACTCAAGTTGCTCCTACACATCCTGCACAGGATACTGGAGGGTCAAATAACCTGGCCAAAAGGAGACAAGTTTATGAGACTCTCCGATATGTTCACTGCAAGGCATTTGCTCCTCGAGGGGGCATTTGGCCTGAGTTGATGGTCTAAATCTACCTACTGCTACATCTAGCTATGAGCAGTGGCAGAATGCACAGCTGGCATGATGCCAGAGTGTTGAGCAGTATCTTTGAAAAACTTGAGAATGACACACCTGATGGGTTTTACTTAGCAGCTGACACTGCATTCCCTCACAACAAGTGCAGTCTGCTGAACAAGATGATGACACCACTCAAAAGTGGTTCACATATGACTCAAGATCACCTGCAATTCATTGAGCAGCTCATTTCATTTCACCAATCAGCAGAATGGGGAATGCAAGCAATACAAGGCTCATTTGGCCGGCTTTGATTGCTGCTCAAAGCCAACAATTCTGGAGACCAGTGCAGGATGCTGGAAACTGTATTCTGCCTACATCAGATCAGGGTGCGCATGGTTGGGATCAACCAACTGAAGACAGTGTACAAACTGATTTGGATGGAAACAGAGGAGCAGAGGAAGGTGTGGAACAGGTTGAAGGATATGTGTTTCCCAGATATCCACAGGGCAGATCATGTGGCTAAGTTCCATTATGTTGTGCTAGACAATGTGTAGCTAACTAGGCTGTGCCTCCCCCACAACATGCATTCTCAAGGCTGTGCAGCCTCTGGATGGGGAGGGCCATTCATAGACTGCACAAACCATGTGCCCATATTACCCATACCCATCATCATGGTCCTCACCTGCTCTTGGTACTCCAGCCTTGCCTTGGTCATATCAAGTTCATGCTGGACACCAAGGTGGGCACGCACATCCTCCAGGAGCTGCACATGAAGCCCTTTGATGATCTTGTCTTTATCCTGGGAGATGTCAACAAGCTCCTGCTGCTTGTCATGCAGCTGAGCTTGGAGAGTGGTGATCTTGCTCTGGAAGATGGTGCGCTCAGCCTGTGCCTGAGGATCAAAGGCCATTTGAATGTTCAAGAGAAGTCCCAGATAGTCCAATTGGTTGCAGGACTTGGGCAATTCCTTGATGTGACAGTGCTGCTTGATCAGCACCTTGCTCATGGTACTTGGAGTGTTGGTGACCTGGGTCAAATAAGTAGACTGCACAGCCTGGGAATGTTCTTCACAGTCTGATGCAGGCCAATCAATACCCTCTGAGTCATCCACCCCATTGTCATCTTGCAAGTTGCCCATCTCAACTTCATTTTGAATCAGAAGGTTGACTACTTTCACTTGCTGGATCACTTTGCTCATTTCACCCTTGCCTGTGGGTTTAGGAGCATGCACAAGCTAGCAGTTGGTCAGTCTAAAGGATGTGCAACCTGAGGTGCAGCAATGTACATCAAAAAACTTGTGCTTGATACTGTCCTGCATCCTTACTGCAATCATGTTATCAGCCCAATAGCACTGCATGCCTGCAAGGATCTTGCTCCAGTCATCTTATCTGATGGGACAACACTCCTCCACCAGATCAAGCAATTTGGACAGCTCTGCCTTGCTGTACCCCTTCGACCCCTGAGTCCTGCCTTTGCTGATGTGTTTCTGGCTTGGTACTTCTTTGTTGGTCAGCTGCACCTTACGTTTGGTGGGCAGCACAGGCTGTGCAGGCTGAGGAGGCACACAAGATGGGGAATCATTGAGGTGCAGGCCAAGAATGCAGTTCCATATGTTGTTCATGGAGGAGGCTCAATAGTTGGAGAAAGATGAGGCTGCACATGGAGGGAATTGAGACAGTTGAGAGGAGGGCAGGATGGTGGAAGAGAGATCTGGATAGGTTGAGGGGACATAAGAAGGAGAGTGTGAGCTGTAGACATCCTCCTGTGTTGGCTCCATGATTGTTATTGAGAAGAGGAGACACACAGCCTTGAAGGAGATTGTAATGTAGGGCATGTGGCACAGCCTGGGGAACACAAGCAGAATGTGTCTGTGAGGGTCTACTTGCATGAAAAATTCTGTGAGAGGGGGTCGACCCCCTCATGCACACAACAAATCTGTGTGAACCCTGGCTGCATCTGCATGAGGGTCGGAGTCCGAAAATGTGCATCCGGAGGCCCGGCATGAGCAAATGCCGCGTTCTGCGTATCTGCGTGGGGCACGCAGATACGGGATGTCATCCATTGAGTCTCGATGGCCTACGCGCTCTTGTCCAGCACTGCAAAGCGGTTGCAAACGACGAGAAACAGTGCGCTGTAGCCAGACCCACGCTTTCCTCGGAAGTGGAATCTCTCAGTTGTCCACCAGCATGGTAACCAACTGGTAAATCCCATTGTGCGCCGTCTGTGACACGGCATCAGAGGTAGATACATTACACTCAGACGATAACGGTATCTCACACAAGTGAGGGGAACAGCACGCTGCTGGATTGAAGCTTCAAGGCCCGACCGACCGTTCTGGTCGAATGAAAATGACAACAGAATTTGGTCAATACATTACTGCATCGTAATTATCAACATTAGGGGCGTGAGTGAAAGGGCAGCAGAGGCCGAAGCGCTCCATCCCGCCTTTCCCAATATTAGTCGTGATAAGCCGTGAGGGAAAAGGGGCAAATCGATACAGTGGCGCTAATCATCTGTCGATGTTTGCTTATGCAGCCTCAGCAGCCTTCTCGTTAACGATCACGTGACGAGGGGCGAGCCCGAACCGCGCGACGTCAATCGACCGAAGCTGGAAGAGCAGAGCGAAGAGGAATACGGGCTGCACCATGATGTCGAGGACGGCGTAGAAGACCATCTCGCCGTCGGAGGTGATGACGTTGCCTCCATCAGCCAATCCCCAGGCGATGGGGTAGAGCATGAGGAGGAAGGACAGACACGCGGCCGAGCGGGTGAAGATAGAACGAACATCGTCGCCGATGGTCCCTGCAGCAACGCGAGCAGGAACTAATAGCTGAACGACGACGTAGATGAGCGCTACAGTGCCGAAAGTGAAGTAGCCCCACTTATAAGTCGATGATACGAGGGCTCCGACGAGGAAGCTGACGAAGGCGACAACTTGCATGAACAGGGTCGATGAAACCTCGGTTGCTGCCAATCCGGTCGTCAAAAGGGCCGCAAGGGTGACGAGGGGCATTGTCAAGACCCATCCAACGTACCGCACGTACCAAATGGCACGGGTAGCGGGCTCACCGGCGTACGTCTGGTGGTGGTTGCCGTAAAACTCAGCAGTGATCGGTGTCGACCCAAGGTCGGCGGCCATGGTGAAGTAAACGACCGACGCGATGGAAAGAATGATGATCGGGAGGAGGTGGAAGACGCGCTGAGCGGTGCGGCGGAACCACATCCAGCTGATCATGCAGAGGTCGCTGAACATGAAGAGGGCGAAAGCCGCCCACAGCCAGTCCGAGCCGTTGGTGTTGATGTCAATCTGTGCATTGGGCGGGTTAACCTCGAGTGCCTGATTGCCGGTCATTATTTTCTTTCGGTATGCTGTGTTGGGGTGACAGGTTGAAAACCTTTGAGAACGCGGGTTGACTGGTTGCTGAGGAAACCGGGAAAACAGCTGCCCCAGCATCTTATATACGAGTATGAGTCGTGGGGATGGTGACATGGGCGGGCTTGCAGGGGGAACGTCCGATAACAGAAGAATGTCGTGGGTCAGCATCGAACGTCAGCTGACGAGGCCAGATTGCAAAGGCTTGCGCAGTGCCTCGCCTTAGATAGTAACTCAAGACATTGGAACAGCCCACTTAGTCAGGACTAGACAACCAAAAAAGTGAAAAGAAGACACAGAAGATCACAGGAGACGCCCGGAGTGGTTTGAGACCTACGCCGACGTTGAGATCTAGATACGGAAGGCCGAAAAACAACAGCGGTCAGCGACCGGTGAGCGGCGGGCTGAGCCGCAGTGTGATCCGCCCGGTTTGCGCCATCCGTCGGAGGAAGAGAGCGGATGGTCTACTCGACTCAGCTTGGGAATGTCATGATGAGGGCTTGCCAATGAGGTTCCACCAAGCGAATCAAGTGGCAGAGAGAAGCAAAGCTCAGTCAGCACACGTGAGTTCTTCGCGGTGGGGCGGGTGGAAGAGAGGCCAGGCCTGACGAAGCGGGGACATACAAATGCCTCCGGAGTCACAAGGGTACTTCCAACCAACCAGGAGAGAGAGAAGTTGACGGGATTCGGCGGATTAAAATTCCGATTGCTTCCGACAGCACAGCCGTTCCGCTTAAAGAAAATACGTCATTCGATTGTCACAAAATGGGGGCTTATGCGATCGGTATTGTCAACAAGCCTGTGACTCGGTTGGCCGAAGCCAATCTGTGCGCTTATGCAAATATCTGACGTCATTCCCTCCTTCCACACCGGCACAAAAACCGGAGGACCGAGGACCCACGCGAGCCGCGCTTGCGTGGATCGCATTCCAACGACGGATGGTCCGGTCGGCGCCAAGTCACGCACAGTGCTTCTCCGCAATGTCGACAGCATGTTGATGACAAATCCGCTTGCTTCAACCCGAGGTAGAGGTCATAGGCGTCGTCATCCCTCGTTGAAGTTCGCTTATAAAAGGGGGGCAACCCTTCCCGCTGGTTCCTCACTCCAAAGTCAACACATTGAGCTACTCCATTAGCCAACAAAATTACTTTACTCTCCCTTTCCTCGAGCGACATATACACCATGTCCGGCAATCAGGCAGTCAACATCAATCCGCCTAACGCGCAGATCGACATTACGTCGCACGGCTCCGACTGGCTTTGGGCCGCCTTTTCCCTCTTTACCATCTTCGACCTTGGTATGGTAGCATGGATGTGGCTGCGACCCAAGACGCAGCGGGTCCTTCACCTCCTACCAATCGTCATCCTCACAGTAACGATGGTGACATACTTCACGATGGCGTCCAACCTCGGCAGCACACCGATCACTGCCGAGTTCTACGGCAACCACCACCAGGACCAGGCCGGAGATCCGGCGACTCGTGCGATCTGGTATGCGCGGTACATCGGATGGACTCTTTCGCTTCCTCTCCTGGTCGCTGAGGTTCTTCTCGCGACTGGGCTGAGCGCGACCGAAGTATCCGCTGCCTTGTTCATGGAAGTCGTCTTCGTCGTATCCTACCTTGTAGGTGCTCTGGTATCGTCGACATACAAGTGGGGCTACTTCGCCATCGGTACCGCTGCCCTGCTCTACGTGATCTCGTACCTCGTGGGGCCCGGCCTCATCGCTGCTGGCCATGTTGGTGCGGATGTGCGCAAGGTCTACATCACCACTGCGCCATTTGTTGCCTTCCTATTCTTCCTGTACCCGATCGCATGGGGCCTGTCCGAGGGCGGTAATGTGATTCACCCGGATTCCGAGATGGTCTTCTACGGCATTCTCGACCTCCTCGTCCAGCCCGTTCTGCTTTTCGCCTATATCTTCCAGCTCCGCAACATCGACATTGCTCGCTTTGGATTCGCCCCTCGCGAGACCATTATCGGCGAGAAGCCGGCGGCGACTGCATAGAGAAAACATCTGCTACTCGTATTCCTCTCACGATTTCTCATGACCACTAATGACCTGTACACCCACCAATAATGTAATGCAGTCTTCGTAGTGTAGCAATACTAAAGACTCGTTAACTCATGGGGAAACTCTCACGTGATAACGTGCCAACAATGATATTAATTGCTGCAGGCCTTTTCCTCCACCTCAACAAGAGGTGCCCACCCATGCTCACTCAACATGATCGCTCCACCCAATACCCTAAAGGAAGGAACGAGCGCTACAGGTGAATGTGGTCGCGACGTTCAGGGACGACGTGTCTGCGCTTCCAGAAGTGACAAGCATATGCCAGACTTTGCATTTGGAACAGCTCCTATCTCCGCCGATACACACACCGCTGGCATAGTGGTGCTACGGTATCTTATCACCGTGCTGGCTCCAAAGATCTCGGCCAGCAAGTGCAGGGTCGTGCTCAGTGGACTGCCAGCATGTGTGCAGCACATCTGAAAGAATATGTGGAGGTATGGGTGACCCTGGCAGACATGCTATGATAACGTGAATCAAGTTGCATTCAGTCAAGCCTGTTCCAATGTGGCCCACCCGATTGGAATCCTGGCTTGGGTTTCGCATTTCATAGGTGCATCGTGACTGTAACAGGAAAATATAGCAGATGTAAATCAGCGATTTACAGTACATGGCAAGAGGTGTTCGGTCCGGTGAGTCCCTGGTAAATTCCCCTTTCAGCTCTTTTGAGCTATCACCTTTCCACGGCGGCATATCACCAGGTGACCGCTGGAGCTAGCCGAGGCCTTTCGCGATGATAAAAGCATGAGCACATTTGCACCTCGAGGTTGTATGTCCGCAACCCCGATCACTACCGCATCGCTATCTAGATCGCAATGTCTCTCGCTGCCTTCGTCGCCGTAAGTCTCTTTGGGAAACAAGACGTCGTTCGCTGAGATGTCTTAGCAATCGAAAACTTTGAAGAAACAGATAATTCAGTGGCTCGAGATAGCCGAAGATGCCCCTAAAGCCAGCTCCAGTTTCGGCGACAACATCTGGGCGAACTTCCAGGGCGGAGGGACGTCCAGGGCCCCCTATTGTCGACCTCAAGGCGTCAAGAACAAGCAAGGCCGATATTCAGCGCAGCTCTTCCTTCTCAACTACGACCCTGGCAAGGGAGCAGCGATCAAAGACACCCAAGCCATCACCGCGGTCGACTTTGGCGATAAAGAACCGACTAAAGACGAGGTTTATGACAAGTTCATCGAGATGTTGCAGGAATAAGAGGACTGTAGATTTTCCCTGCACTGGTCGTCAATTTCGCTGAGAATAGGAAGGTGATTACCGAAACTAACAGCGTATAACTTCTGTAACCCCGTATGAGCAATGTAAAACACGAAACACTTGACTTGATTGCTCAAGTTCACGGAACATGTATGAATGAGCCTTGGTTAGGTACAGCTAACTCGAGCTCTCGGGCCAACCAGGTTATATGGGTTACCCATTCTGGCAACCCATGCACAAGGAGAAACATGATCTTGAGTGGTAGCTCCGACGCTTCCCAGAACTTGTCATTGAGGTTGGGATGATGCTTCTTTAGGCGTAACCGAAATTCCTGGCGGAAACGTAGATGATCGATAACCTCCTCCCGAAGTTCTGCCAATCCGTCTAGGCCCATTTCACCACCAATAGGAATAGTCGTTGCTTGGTCCACACTGCTTGGAGGCACCCAGCGAAAACCACCTGTCGAAGTTACCCAGCTCTCTGTAGCAGAGTAGGTAGAAATGTCTTCTGGATATCGGGCGAGGCCGAATCTTGGCATGACAGACATCCCTTGTAGATCGATGAATCCAACGATGCGTTTCGTTACTATGCCCGGTGTCAGTTTTGGTCACGGGGAGGTATTATCAGAATAGCACATACACGGGTCACAAATGATGTTACGCCACGCAAAATCCCCTATAACAAGGCAGGGCTTCACGAGCTCGTCGGGTAGTCGATGACTAGAGATTAGTTCTAGGACCAGTGTAGAGGCACGTCGAACTTCCTCGTCCGTTACTTCTTGATCTTCTTTCCAATCGTTCCAATCAGTGCGTGCGGCCTCGGTCTTCCACAAGTCTCTCCACAATTGCTCGACCGAGCTTGCAGCGTATCGCGGAAGCTCAGCACCTTCTCCTCGTGGAGCATTGGAATACTGAGGTTCTGAAAGATAGGGACCAATGACGAAGTCTTCGGCTTGGAGAAGCTCTGGATAGGTTCTTCGTGAGCTACTACCAGCGCTGGTATCTTGTGAGCGGAACTTGATCATGCCAAACGATGAGAAAGGCAACGGATTGGCAAGCTTTGAATAATGGAGGGCAAGGTCATCCAAAATCCTGGAACGATCAGCAACATTGTCCCTCCAGACGACTTCAAGGGTTTCTCCTTCGAGATAATCGACCAACAAATAAGGCACGCCGGCAGCATTGTTGGCATCGGAGTTCCATGCCCATACGCCGGGAGAAGGAAACTCTGGCTTGAAGCACCGAAGATAACACAGCGTTGCAACCTCGGATTCCATTCGTTGTCGGAGATAGCCACTTCTGTCCCCTCCAGGAAGACCGTTCTGCTCGCTCTCCCGGGGTATCCTCGCAACAAGACGGAGACCGCTACGGAAGCTAAGCAGATAAATCTTGGTCCACCAGCTGAACGCGAGAAAGGTAACGGTCGGTGGTTGCTCTTCTCCGGTAGCGAGGCATGCCCCATAAGCGAGGGCAGGTAAGCACACACCTAGGTGCACACTGGATGGCGTAACATCATGCGCGCCCGCTTTATCGATGTCTGTCTCCAAGCTGACGACACCTTAAACCGAGCTGATGAAGTTCCTCTAAGGCATAGAATTCGAGATTGCGTACCTTCCAAGGCTTTCCACGCTTCTGGGATGACCTGTGGGTATCGTAGAGATGCGTGGGGAGGATGTGCCTTCATTCTCCCTGATTCACAGGAGCTTTCGTGCAAAGTGCTCTTCGTGCATTGTGAGTGGGAATGCCCATGGGCAAATACGAGATCGCAACTTGAGCCCTTTTCTCAGGAGATTAGATGGCTTGATAGTGTCGAGGAACGAAATGAGAAACATTAAGGGGCCGTAGCAACAGAAATAGTTGTCCAGTTGGCAGGTCAGACACACAAGGGCGACGGAAAACGGAGAAGCTTATTCCTGGAGACCCTTGCACAGCCACCTCCTCACAACACCTGGCGTACGGTGGTTAACTCATGGGGAAATACTCACGTGATGCCAGGTTGAAATGACATTACGGCATAATGAGAACGTGGCCCGACTGCTTCCGAAGAGCTTGGCAACAGGCGTCGGTTACCTCAACGTTCACGGTCTCTTTTGGTCTGCGTTACTGTCCGAAAAACTTCTGATGTGACTGTCTGTCGCTTGGATTGGTCACGTTCCCTGATTCTGTTTCGGTTCTCTGTCACTGTGCAGGAAAATTGTCGTCGGCATCTGTACCTCTGCTGCGTGCGTGGGCCAAGCGCTCGACAATGAAACCTCGCCTGCTCGGAGAACAGCTCTGGATGCAGGCTGCCTATCTCCATTCATCTCGGAGATACGTGGTTCCTCAAGGCTGAGACACAGATGCGCGGAACACGCCGGGGTACATCAAAGACGGTCGCCTTTCACGTCGACGTCTGCTGCGATTCAAATTGTGCGCGGTCAAGTTCCGGCACCCGTGCAATCCCCAAGGTTTACCTACTCGTATAAAAGCATCATGGTAGCCTCCTGGGCGTGTTGCCACGAGCATTGCGTATTCGACCAAAACCAACATCTCTACATCAATAATGTCCGACTACGACTACACCAATTGTACTGGCGCCAATAAGGCGCTCGAGGTCAATCCGCCAAATGCGGCGGTCAGCATTACAACCCATGGCTCCGACTGGCTCTGGGCCGCTTTCTCTCTCTTTATGTTCTCCGATCTTGGAATGGTGACATGGATGTGGCTCCGTCCGAGGACGCAGCGTATCCTTCACCTGTTGCCAATCGTTATTCTCACTGCCACATCGATAGCATATTTCTCTATGGCATCTGATCTCGGCAGCACACCAATTACTGCGGAATTCTACGGCAACTATCATCAAGACCAGGCTGGTGACCCGGCAACCAGGGCGATATGGTATGCACGGTACATTGGCTGGACTATTGCCCTGCCATTGTTGGTCCTGGAGGTCCTCCTTACTACGGGTATGAGCGCAGCCGAAGTCTCGAGCGCTCTATTCATGGAGGTCGTCTTTGTGGTGTCTTACCTCGTGGGTGCCCTTCTTACCACTACTTACAAGTGGGGTTACTTCACCATCGGCACCGCTGCGCTCCTTTACGTAATCTCCTACCTTGTGGGTCCAGCCCTTGTCGCCGCTGGAACGATTGGGACAGATGTCCGCAAGGTATACCTCCGGTCGGTACCATTCATGGCCTTCGTGCTGTTCCTCTACCCCATTGCTTGGGGTGTCTCGCCGAGGGCGGCAACGTCCTACATCCCGAATCCGAGATGGTCTTCTACGGCGTTCTGGATCTTGTCATCCAGCCCATTTTTCTCTACGCCTTCTTGTGCCAGCTGCGCAACATCGACGTGTCTCGTTTCGGCTTCGCCCCGCGACTCGTCGTCCCCGCCGAGAAGCCCGCCGTTACTGCGTAATTAGCCCTCACGATTGAGCTAGTTATGTGGCGACTCTTAACCCACATATCGTACCCACCTCACGATCTATGACGACCACTAATGATTTCTTATGGCATACCACTAATGATTGTAGAACCCTTATTACATTAATAATGTTCATTTAATTATCTTGAATAGTGCTGCTTATACAGAGATTCTCAGCATCTGATTTTGATCATCTCCTTGTGTTGTTGTTGACGTCATTGCCTCTGGTCTACACGGCCTTCCATTCTACTCTTTCCTTCCCTTTCCCTCATTCGAAGCGTGGCATGCCCTCTAACCCTCACCCTCTTTGCCTCAAGCAATGCCTTGTGAGCATCTCTCATGTGTAACCGTCTTATCCAGCGATTTGGCAGAAGCCTCGGGACCATTCCCCCACGCCTCGTCATCTCATCTCGCGCTCTGACAACCTGCCGCCGATGATTCTGACCCTTCCCCGTTGGTTGACTGTACATATTAGACTCGGTAGCCTTGACTGACGTTTGGTGATGTCGAACCACTCCTACTGTGTTTTGGAGTGTACACAATGGCGCCGTGCCATCTGCCGGATGGCAGATGGCAGATGAGGCATAACCTTCTACATTAATGGCCGTACATGAAGGACCTCCGGCAGCCACAGATATAGAAGAGGGCAATCGGTCTTGGACAGCGCAGATGTGGAGGAGAGTCGTTCAAGAGTCCATTAAGGCCGGGAGCAGAGGCGGAGGAGCAGTCGGTGGATTTGGGAGAGCACAGGAGAGAACGAGTCGGCGTAATTGGAGAGAGCTGAGGTAAAGATCGTTTCGGTGGATTTGGAGATAGCAGAGGCAGAGCAGCAGTCGGTGGATTTGGAGAAGAGGGAAGAACAGACGGTGGATTTGGTGAGAGCAGAGGTGAAGAAGCAGCTGTAGATTCGGAGAGAGCAGGCTCAGGGGTGAAGTGGGAGGATTTGGAAAGGGCAGAGGCGGAGGAGCAGGAGTCGATTTGGGGCGAGCAGAGGCAGACGAGTGTCAGATTGCATGTACAGAGGGACCAGGAGGATCGTACTTCATTCCACAAAGATGGATACAAATAGAATCTGCGGAGGGCTCACTCACGGGTGATGACATTCTGCTGTTCAGCGTGTGCTGCACGGCGATGTGAGCCAGCGTGTGATATATCCCGTCTCAGAGTTCCAGTTTAACTTTGTGGAGCTAGTACGGGCGGGGCAATTGCGATTTAACAGTGCGATCTTCATCCTACTTTGCTTCCACGCCGCTGACACTGGAGAAGCATCCTTAGAATATCTGCGGGACAAGATGCCCAACCAATGGTGAACTCTGGTCGGCGGCAGACCCATCCACTCAATTCCATTGATGATATGGGAGGACGATGTATCCAGTAACCGCTCTAAACTCTGGGACAAGAACTACAATATATGCCTCTCCAACTTGTGTCAGCCTTGACACGAGCTCGATATCGATTATAACATTCACTTCATTGGCATCTCCTCGCATGCATCTCCGCTGGAGTTGATGGACGGACTTTGCTGCATGATCCAGTGAGTACATCGCTACGCGTTGTGGTGTGCTGCTCTGTCGGCGAGCATCACCACAACACCCATACAGGATAGTGCACTGACAATACTCAGATAGGCCCGCCGCGAGAACCCGCTGAGACACTGCAAGCAGTCCGATCAATGATCCAAACTGCCGCCGATGTGAAGCGGGGGATGAACACAGTAGATGCTATTGGGCAGCGCCACGGCGTAGCCAATCGATTCGCTGAACCGGTCATCGCAATGCTGCGTAGACTCTGCGATGGCCTCAAGGCTGAACGAAGACTCTCGGAGGGAGACATGCAGCGAATCCTTCATGAGCGCCTCTCCGCATATTCCAACGACCACGCTGTAAACCCCTTGTTGCGAATCCCTGGTGAGATATTATGTCCGGTGTTACTACGAGACTGATCGATCCCCACACAGGCTTCAATGTGCATCAGTCTACGCCGGTCAAACTCTTACATACATTCTTGCTTGGGCTGGTCAAGTATGTATGGGTGGCCACAATAGAATGCTTGGAGAAACTGACGTCCAGGCGACACAAAGCAGATCAACCGCTCCACCTTATACAAATGCACATGGCGATATTGAACGAGGACGGCTGGTGCGTGCCCAAGCTGGCACCAGCTTACATGATTCAGTACTGACGGTCACTCATCGGCAAACACTTCAAGGCCATGGTACACTGCATGGTACTGTCCCTCACGAGTACATAGACGCATGGGTCCTGCTTGGCCTGGCAGGGGCGGTGTTCTGGAAGACAGATATTGCAGCGAAGGACGAATACTTGGTGAGCCAGTGCGTTCTGCCTGCCCTTGCCTTACACCTGATGTGATACGGCGCAGATGGACCTGTGGGAGACACTGACGGCTCTCGTTTATGCTGTCAGTCGAGTGGATGCTACAAAGATAATATCGAAACCCAAACTGCACATCATCCTCCATCTAGCGGAACACGTGGAGAGGAACGGGCCAGCTTTACTCTTTCAGACTGAGCGCTACGAGTCGAGCAACACCGTATTTCAACATTGCTCGATGCTGAGCAACCGCCAAGCACTGAGCCGCGATATCCTGACAACACTTGTCCATCACAGTCAAGTCCGACATATTGTGAGTGGTGGATGGTGGCACGATGCAGCAGAAGATAAGTGGGTGAGAGCAGGAGATGACGTGAGAGCCGCCGTCAAAGGACAGGTTATCTTCCAGCGACTGCTGGGCATGCCGAAGAACTCGACCAACCTTCCTGGCCACCTTCCGGTCCAGCGCCCTGTCAACCATGTGCATTGGTGCCAGACCAAGGCAGGAGAGCAACTGCCAGATGCCTACCCAGCGCAGACTCGATGTCTTCGCTACCCGAAAGCCATAGCGACGAACAGTGACCACGTGCCCATCAGGGGCTTTGTCATCCACAAGCAGGGAGTGAGAGTGACTACTATCCTTGAGTGAAAACCGGACGCTGATGGACTGTAGAAAAGAGTCAGATGAATCGTGGAAGCACTTCGCTTACAGGAAACCGACCAAACCGGGAAAGAGCTCGAGATTGCACTGATCCAAGAGTACAAAATCGGCGAACTCAGCATCATCAGCTGTCCCCGACTTCGGGTAACCAGCAGTTTCCGTCTTGTCGAGGTAATGGCATGTCATGCTCTTCTTCCGCTAACCCAGTAGGCTGACACTCACGCAGAACATTCTGGCTTGCCCTAACACAGCATGACTGTACCGCTGGACTCTGCACTGTCAAAACCCATCGTCCGAGACGACAAGAGCATAGAGAGACAGCGTTACGCGAGATGACCATCAAACACAAGGATGAAGAAGTCTTCCTCCTGAATGTGTTCTGCTTTCACAACAGCACACTGATTCGGGAGCTTCTGCTGTATCAGCTCAGACCACCCATCTTCAGCGAGGACCCAGCCCGAATCCGAGAGCAGCTTTTCGAGGCGCACGAGAGACAGACGGACACAGTGCGAGCAAGGAAAGAGAGGCAAGCGGCCGCGGTGGCACATCGAAGCAAGCGAACAGATTCTATAAATGGACGAGGACCTGATACGAGAGATAGTTTAGCACCGTCTTGTGAATAATAGAATGCTAATTTGAAGAGTGATCTCTTGGTGTTGTGGTGATGCTCGCCGACAGCCACATTGGAGATGCTCATGGAGGCGGTACACGTGGACTTTCATCCGCCTTTGATTAACACGGACTGGGAATTTTACAATGACGAGTTTTTCACCAAGTTTTCTCTTCCCCTCACCATCACCCTTACATTCTGTCTAATAAGCTGTCGAGTTTCTAGCTTGGAATGAGCCAGGGGCAGGTACCTTACACTTACCTACTTGGCCCAGTTGAGGCTTCAACATCGGGTCGACCGGGAAACTTGGCGAACGCGACTGGAAGACTGCCACCGTCTTTTGGTGTAAGCTATAACCAAACGAGTCAGGAGCTGACCAACGGCCAAGGCTTGACAAGCCAGCAAGGAGGAGATCAAGGGCCTTTCTCTGTGAACCCTCCGAGACATAAGAATCAGCTGAACTCGTTTACAGGTATGGAGTACCAAATGCGATGATAGGAGGGCAATCGAGTCAGACATATCCTGTGTCTCAGCCTCTATCTTCGTCAACCAGTGGATCAAGAGTGCAGGGTTATGGAGACCTAAGGAGAGCTGATGGATGCAGGTACCAGGTGGATCAGGAGTACGGCAGGTACAGCCTGCCATCAATGGGTCCCATCGTCCCTTCCGTTGTGCGTGAGGAGGGAGTTGCTGACTGGTTTTCACAGCAAGAGGCCGATCTGGAAGCCTCTCAACCTCCTGAACCTCCAGGCGAGTATGATGTGGTTGAGTATGTGCGGAGACGAGGGACGAAGGGTAATCTGGCTGACCGAAGGCCAGAGGACGCGAAGGCATGTTGGACAACTTAACCCACTCCAGACTGGACGAGCACAAAGGGAACTCCAATGCTGTGAGACAGATTGGCATAACACGCAATTACAAGCAAATGATCCGGACGGTGCAGGCTGATCTGGGGCTAGCCAAAGAGGTCATCGACACAGTTACTGCCGTCTACTTGGATAATCCTAGGCGCTCTAAGAGCGCCAAACTGGATAATCCCTGGGCGTTCTGAGAGCGTCAGCTTTGGGATAATCTGGGGAAGTACTTACACAGTTTTTTTTGGATAATCCGCAGATAATCTCTGTTCATGCACACGTGAGGGGTAACGCCACAGCGTTGGATTCAGTTCGGTACAGGTTCATTCACGACACTACTATCACATGATAAAGTGCATACGGATATATGACATGGTAGGGTAACTGTGCATTAATTAGAATATCGTTTCTTCGTTGGACGTGATAATGAACGTACCGTTAAATGTTTCCATCCCCAGCGTCCATCACAAACCGTTCTAACTAAACGTTCCGCTTGTCCATCCTCTTCTCATTCTTACACAGGAACTCCGCACAACTTTCCGAACGACAGGAAGTTCAACCATTTCTTCATCTCGGCCATGCAGTCGAAGTCGTTTGCGTTTTGGTGTTGCTCGATGTGGATCGTGTTCCCGCCGAGAGCGTTCTGAGAGTTGTCGTGCTGGGAAGGAGGGGGATATGTCGAATGGGAAGAAGGCCAAGTGGGAGGAGGAGGCGGATAGTTGGGGCCAGGGTGCTTAGCAGCGTATCCGTAACCGTAAGAACTTTGCACAAGTGTTAGAAACGTTCACTAAGAGGACGGAACAGACGCACCATGGCTCATCGACGGCCCACCTCTCAAAGCTCTGATCCGCCGCTCAACGTCTCTCTCCACTGCCCTAGCCTGCACCAAATGTTCGTAAGCTCGATTCACGCCATCTTGTGCTTCACGTTCCCGGAGGTAGTAGAACGGAGCGGCGAAGGTCGGGTAGTGGGCTCGAACGTAGTTCAGATGGTCGACGGCTTGAGATACGGACAATTTTGCGCGTTCCACGTTGATACTTGCCATACCGAGTTCCGTTTCCAGCTGTATCAACGCGTGGTTGATCTGAGGCAGAAACACTTGAGGGACGGGGAAAGAGTGCCCAATGTTGATCGAGACGTTCTGAGTAGCAGAGGGGTTAGCCATTTGTAGGTGTTTCCTGTCACCCGTTAGAGAGCAAAGAACGTACCTGTGTAATTGGTGAGAAGCACTGTTGCGTCCAGAGACAGCTCACTCACCGTATTCAGGCGCGTTCGCGGAATCAATCTCAGTGCGGTCCCCTACTGACGTTATGCAAATTAGCGGCGGTGCGGTCCCTTGTCCCCTTACTATGTAAGTCACGTGATCCTCCATGTCAACAACACCGCGTTTTACCTTCTTCGATTTTCCCCCCTATGTGTATACCTGCATATTACCGTTTGAAATGCAGGATCAAACCATTATGTGGGGCCAATCTCCCCATAACAATCCCCATTGAGAACGGCTGCTCTATCTCCCTGTCCGTTCTCCCCATGTGTCTCAGCCTGAGACGTAGATCAATATACGTCAACACAACGACGAGGGTTAAGAACCCACCACTGTCCGGGGTTCACAAGTGGAGCGTTGCCTACCAGACCGTTCGGTCCAGCGAATTTGCGCGTCTTTTCCCGTGAAATTCTGTTAGGATTAAGGTGAAC